TAATCTAGTATTGTTGTTAGTCTGTGTACTGAAAATATAAAATGAAATGTATAGAAAACAAAACTGGAAAAATATTTGTTGATTTCTTAATTTAGTCTCCGTTGATTAAACAGGATTTTTTTTTATTATTAAAAACGTTGGTGATATAACAGAAAATAGCTTAATTCAGAGATGATTTAAGTTTAAAACTGAATCAATATTTTTACTTTCATGATTAATTTTATCCACTCAGCTCTAGGCTAGATGATCCCAAACTACGTCTTTACTTTGTGCTTATTATACCAACACTCATTACGCTTGTAAGGTTTCACGGCACCTTCCCCTCACAGCCTCCTTGCATCCCTGTCACTAAAATAGCAATGAGCAGATAGTAATCGAACTATTCTATCTGGATAAATGCATTTTGGCTTTTATGACTCCTCCATTTGGAAAAATAAAGCATGACGTGATACACACTGGCTTTAGTATAGGTTAGATTCTTATATACATGAGCTCTAATATTCCATTCACTCCTCAGTGGTTAATTTTTGATAAAAAAATTTTGTTCTATTATTCAACAATTATTTTAAGACACCTATAAAACTATATACTTTTAAACTGAGTGAGTTATAATAAGCTACAACATACCATCATGCCTTATTACTGACCCACATAATTTGAAAATCTTACAATAGATAAATATATGACAAATATAACAATACTAACGAACAAAGTGTTGGCAATTTATTATTTTCACTTACCAACACAAACATTAACTCAAAATACATTACTTCAATGTTTCACCTAAATACAGCTGATAACCTAATATTCTAAAGTATTTGTTTATTTGATGATGGGTAAGTGGGTTCAACAAATCTTATTAATTCAGAGGATGCAAAAAAGAAACTGAAATATGCGTACTACTTACTTACACTACAATGAATATGAATGAAGCCATTCCTCTCTTGTTAGTCTCTTTGAGTGTAACACAAACTTAATTTCTAGCCTAAACTCAATGAAGGGCAAGTTATGAAAAACATCGAGAAACAAAAATCCACAAGTACATAATTTAAATTTTCATAATTCTTAAATTCTCAGTTAAAAAACCTTTATTCATGGCTATAAAAAAATACAGTTCATATTTAGAGCACTATTTACTTGACGATAACAGTTTAATCTGGTGATATATTATTTTAACTTTTTACTCTGATTTAAACCATTATAAAATGTTCTAAATGTAATATGGCTGTGATGCACCATGCATGTTAAGTAATTTTTCACTTAATACAGAATCAGTGGCAACAATTCCAGGAAAGAAGTAAATCTTTTTGAGCTCGCCACTTTCATTCTCACTTTTACTTGCAGTGTGTTAGCTAGATGTAAATTACTCACAAGAAATAATTTTTTCTATACAGATATTCTAGAGTACTTGTGAGTAACACAGAATTTTAAGCTAATTTGTCATTTATACTTGTGAATTTACACTGCATCAGTTACCATCACACTAAACAAAATATTTGTCTCATGTACCTTTAAAGAGAAACCCAAACTTCTTTGTTTAATAATATTTTTGTGTAAGAAGCTAGGTGTACATGGCCAACCTTAATTTTTGAGCTAATGGGATTAAAGGGAAGGCAACCAGTCAATAGCACCTACCACCAACTCTTGGGCTACTCTAATAGAACAGTGGGATTTGACCAAAGTATGGAGTACATTTCTGTGGCAATGTGCTGAAAATTATGTATCTCTGAATTTACAATCAGAGCATGCTAATCATTAGACTACAACCATCCTAAAACCACAAGTTTAGAGCTTTTTTCTAAGCCTAAACCAAGGAACAACATTGACCATGTTCTTCGTGATCAGGCTACAATCCTGAAAAATGTTTTTGGGGAAAATTGTTAATGAAATAATATAAGGGCTGTTAACAAATTCTGGACAGCAGATAAGATAAATGTAAAAAGACAGCAGATAAAGGTACCAAACAAAAAGAAAAGAATAAAAACATCAGAAAATTTTATTTCATATTAAACAAAACACTAAACTATGAATACACAAATCAATAAAAAATGCCACAGTTTCTTGGAACTTCAAAAATTTTAGAAAGATATGAAGTACTTATTACAATAAAAACAAGACCACTTTTTAATAAAAACAAATTACAAAAAGTGTAATTTACATATGAGCATATAACTTTTTTTTGCACACATTGGGCAAAAATAAACTATTAAACATTACCAATGTAACTAAAATTAACAAAAGATTGGACATTACTTATGTAAGTATAGCTAACAAAATACTGGGCTTACTAATGTAAGTAAAACTAACAAAAGATTGGGCATTACTAATGTAACTAAATCTAACAAAATACTGGACATTACTAATGTACCTAAATCTAACAAAATAATGAAATTTTTTTTCCCTTTAGTTTTACTTCAAACAACCTAACAAGTTACAAAGAGCAAGACTAGGATATTATGATCTAAACTAACAAAATACCAGAAATAAACATAACTAAAGCTAACAAAAGATTGGACATCCCCCCCCCCCTTTAATTTTACTTCAATCTACTTATGGAATCACAAATATCAAATCTAAGAGACTGTGTACTTACAGCTGTTGAAACAGTGCAATAATGTTCATTTAGGAAACTTTTATCCTATCAGTACAAGATACAAAAACTGGTCAAACAGAATTCTGAAATCAGTACATGAGAAAATTTTGTGTATGAAGGTGTGTTTTGGCAGTAAAACAAATTCCTTTTAACCACTTACAGAACAGAAAATGCATAAATATGCTATATCATTATTCAGTACTTGTAAAAGGTTATAAAACCTATTGATACCAAAACCACATTTTATTTTCATGTTATTAATTTAAAACAAAAGTTTTCCACAATAATAACTACATTAGTTTTCAACTCAAAAGATTTCAGATGCATATTTCAAAAATATAATCAACGGTACAATCATTCAAAATGTCTTCATAATTTTATCTATGATTTAGATCAACGTAAGACTTGTGTTAAGAAACATATAAAATTAGTTTAGCAACAAAAGACCTCCTAGTTCATCAAAGTCATCTTAAAAGTCCTGTAACAACTATGCAAATATAAATGTAGCCTTTCACAGTTATATTTTTGTTGGAGACAAATCAAATTCAAACTTTCAACTTAATTAGGCAAATCACTCTTAAAGATAATAATTCAATAGAATTTACAGCATAAACTTTTAAACTCTTTTCTTTTAAAAGATGGGACTATCCTTAATGAACCAGATTCAATTACTCATAAGCCATATATCCAAACATCTTAAAATTTTAAACACTCAAATCAAGTCACCTTTATTTATTCAACAACCTAAAAAAATATGTAAATACAAAGACTTGTTTTCAAAAATTGACCATTTTCTCTTCCACATCCTTTCAATTAATAATTATTTTTATTGTTTAGTGACAATAATAAAACTGTATGCAATATAACTGTAGTTTAACAAGTAATAAACAAACAGTATCAAACTTCTTATTTCAGAGCTCCCTAGTCCCATACATAGAACAATCTTTGTTATTAGCTCTTTTGACTGCTCTAAACTTTCAGAAGTGTGCTTTTTCATTTTCAGCTTGCAATTAAATTCTTCACTTTTAGAACAACTTCTTTTGTACAAAAAAACCTCTCCCCAGTGCATCACTTAACACTTCTAAACATTACAATTCACTAGGTATATTCTGAATCAAAGAAACTTACAAGGCCCTTTCTTCACCATTTTTAAATTACACAAAAGTTAATCAAGTTGTTATCAATATTACTGGTAAATTCCAAATAAAAACATGTTAATAGAACAAACAGAAAGAGTAGGTTATAAAAAATATACTTAGATATAAGATTTTTGGTGTAACTTTTAATTTTTAAATAATTTTCAGAGAACCATTTTTAGTTGATTTTATAACAGAAGCAGAATTAGTAAGGGGGTTCTAAAGAGGTTTGTTTCATCAGACATTTCTGAAACACAATAGCAGAGAGGAGGGAAACAGAACAAAATTTAAAAATTTGCTGATTATACAAGAACAATGTATAAGATTAATTCTAAAAGAATTCCTACTTGTTTGAAATTAGAATCTAAACAGGTTCAAGTGAATGGTAAAAGACTTGGAAAATGATACATTCGTACTGTACAGTCATACAGACATATTTTTTTGAAATGTGTTTTGTAAGAAAAATCTTGCTCACAAAAACAATCAATACAAATACTGATAGATGTCTTGTACATAAAGATTTACATTCACTATATACACTAAAGTACTTTGTACAATATCTCTTTCTAAAAGAATCTCAGGTTTCTGAAATGCAGACTTAATGAAGTGGTATTTGTTAAATGTAGTCTTCACTTTAGCCTTTATTACAAAAAAATGGAAAGAGTTCCATATGGCACCCCCACCCAAAAATTGTAGAACTGCCTGGATAAAAAAAGATTCTGAAAAGGGTTTATTTTAAGGGGCATATTAGAAAAATT